TGCTAGTGTCATGTCTATCAGCTGTGTCTTAATGTTTGCAAGTAAAGCAATGTTATCAGTGAAATCTAGGTCAGTCAATTTGTCTTGTAACTGAATTGGTAGTGGAAATTGGGACTGGGTTGCCGAACCAGTAGGGATGGCAGGCTGGCCACGCCCCCGAACTGGTTAGCCGGTCGCCCATGCCGTTGCCGGCATGTTTTTCAGTCATTTTATAATGTTCTGTGCATGCGCAGAACAATTTACAGGCAAATGTGAATGTGCAAGCACGCACGAAGCAAACCGGTGTAACACCAGCAGCAACCCACCCCTGGTGGAGGTTCATTCTCCGAGCTTTTGGATTGTTTTTCTGAATGTTTCATTATCAGGCTGGTAACGAATATTCAGAAACCAACCCACAAGCTTGGAGAACAAAACTTCACCCCTAATACAGATCATGGTTATGTGTGTAGATGGTTGGAAAAATTAAGGTGCATCCAATTCAAACAATGAATGACATACAGAAGGCTTAATATATGAGCCATACCATGTTTACTACCAACCACTGAATTTTGATGAAATGATGTGATTCATATTTGTTTCTCACCACTCATGAACTGTGCCTAACCTGATATCCTCTGCACAGCCAAGCCATTACTGATATGGTATAATACAATGGTTCAAAACTAATGTGGTGCCAGGAACATCAATTATTACCTGAAAATCCCCAACTTAATCTAAACGCTTCCCTAAATTTGGTTCAAGTATTTTTTTTTAAAACTCTCAGGAGTATAGTCTATTGATTCCTTTTATATCAAAAGCCATTTGAGCTTGGTGGAATTTTGGTTAAATGAGAAGGTAGCAGCCATCCTCTCGCCAGGAACAGGATTGGCTGCAACCCATTGTACCATGTAATTTCTTGTTCTCTCTGCACTGTTCTGAACTCATTAGCAAATGGGATTTAAAAGATGCTGAGCTCAGTTCTCCCCTTTACAGTACACATCTGACATGAAGTAATCATGAAACATTCATTATATTCAACTATGTTGCTCATCTGGAGGGAATGGGGCTTTTTGCATTTTTAATTTCCTCCCCATTAAGATCTCATGAAAGAATGATCCTTTGCTCACGGCTCTTTAATTAGTTCCTTTTATACATCTCCAGTTGGCCTACTCCAATTCATCTAGGGGAATATTGGAAACAATCCTCCCAATTGCTGCATGTTTAGAATATGCAACCAAAGCAAAGGGGGAGAGATGAGAAAGAAACAAAAAAATATTTGCAACTTGCCTGTACAGAAATTCTAGTTTGGGATCATGAGCAAATTTACAGAAAACTCAGTCTTTGCTGCCATCTATTCATCATCTAAATTTTTGCAGCCAGTATACAGTAACCTTAATTTTAAAAAGCTAGTATCATTATTTAGAATTGAATAGCGGGAAAAATTACAACAATCACAAAGGAATACTACTTCACTTGGAGCATAGCTGAATTGTGCAATTTTCCTATTGAAAATATAGTGATGGTTTTGGATAACTTTAAAGGAGGATTAGAAAGTTTGTAGAGATTAAAACTGTTAATGAGTACTAGTCATAATTAGCTGCAGTATATATTAGCTCAAGATATAATGGTCATGCACTGCTCAGTAACAGTTTCAGAGAACTAGAAAGGTAATATTGCCTTTAATTTCTCCTTGTGATTTCTTGGTTGACCATTGTCAGAACAGAATGGGACAACGTACTGAAGCCAACTTGGTGTGACCACCTCACCACCATCACAACCAGCTTGCTACCACCAACTCACCTCTGGCAATTCATCGCCACTAAGTTGCCACAGGACAACTCCACAGGAATAAATTGCTTCAGGGACAAATTGTTATGGGTAGCAAGAGGGAGAATCAAGCAGATAGGCAAGTGAGTGTGTAGGCAGAATGCAGTGCATCTGTGGCTTCTCATTTTCACACCACCACCTCAAGGCTAAATAGGCTGGGGACAGTGGTGGCAGTGGCAATGAGTGGAGTGGGTGGTGGGGAGGTGGCAACAGCCCTATTCACAGCCTCTGCTGCTGCCACATTACTGTGCTGAGCTCTGGGCTGAAGAGAATTGCAGTGATGGCGGTGGTAATCAAGACGGGCAGGAGGGAGGAAGGCAGCAACTAGGATGTCCCATTTTCATATTCACTGCTGCTGCTGCTGCTGCTGCCACAGCAAGCTCTGAACCAAAGAGGCCAGGGACACCAACAGTGGTGTGTGAAAATGAGATGCCTCCGGCCACTGCCACCTTTCTACTGCCCACCATTGCTTCCACTGGCATCTCCAGCCTCTTTGCCCCAAAACACAGTGTGGTAGGAATGGGCAGAGTTTGTGAAAATGGAACGCTGCCATCTCTACTCTGTGCTCTGCCCATCCACTCACTCAGCTATCTGCCTGCCTGTCCCTGCAACCAGTCATGGAAAGTTCTCCTGGTAGTAAACTAGCTGCGTGGAGTTGTCCGGCAGTGAACTAGTGGTAGGGAGCTAGCTGCACCAGAACTGAAAATGTCTGTGGAGACTGTATGTCCACAAGGTTATGAGGAATCAAACTCAATGCAAAGGATTATTATGCTATGGAGAGGAATTTTCCAATTTCATTATGCAAATACAAACACACTTAGAAATCTAGAGAGGTCCTGGAAATTTCTAGTTTTTAAGGTTCCTATCTGTAACTAAAAAATGGTATCAAAAGAAGAATGAAGACCTAATTTCAATATTTAAAAAAAATCCAGTGAGCTGAGGTCCAAATTTGAGCCTTTCTTTGAAGCCCGGGCTCAATGATCATCTCCCCAAAGTTCACTTTAAAGACCTTTATTGAGAAAGAGGCACTGAAATTGAATGTAGTTTTCCAGGACTTAGAAGGACCTTTGGCAACTGAAACTGAAGAGGGGAACAATGATAGAATGAATTAAAGTGACATTAAGTTGCCTTTGCATTCCCATCTAATGCCAATGTCATTTTAGTGCTTGTTTTCCGATATAACTAATGCTACAAATTAAATCCATGTGCTTATTGATGAAGGCTGAGATATTGTATGTCTACTCAACATTACATTTTAAATATGTGATCGATTAATCCAAAGCCTTCCCAGACAAGCCCTGACATACATTTATAGCACCTTTGTTTTCATAGACACTAAATCTCATAGCCACTTATTTAGAAATGTAAAATTTATTGTTCGCCTGATTCTATTTTTGTCGTCCAGCAGAAACAAAGGAACCAGTAAGAAGCAGTTTGAAAGCCAACTTCTGTGTTTATGTTCCATCAGTTCAAGGACATTTAATCATCAGAAGGGCAAAAATTAAAAGCCTCCTAAAGGGACCCCACCCCCACTGCTCCTTCTTCCATGTACCATGTTTTGCTCTTCTGATACACAAGGAATTTCGTTTTCTTTCTTTTGGGGGGGGAGGTGATGTTGCAAGGGAAGTCAGGAAGATACAGTTTACCCTTCGAAAAGTAAATGGTATTTTTTTAATGGCCTGTTGATACTCTGATCACTATCTTGCTTATGTAGATCCTGCCTGTCAGAGAGGCATACAGTAAACAGAGACAAGTGAGTCGTGGAAGGAACATTTTACCACTGTTTACACCAAATAAGAATATCCTTGGGGAGGCATTACCTGTGAAGGAGGCTCAGGCTCAATAAATTAAGCACAGCAGCAGAGTTTTGCACAGATCCTTCAAGCAAGGATGAGAGATGATACAGATTGGCTGAAGTATATCAGTCCCACTGAGGGGACCTTAATGAATTTCACTTTTGGAAAAAACACACAAATTCCAGGATGGATATCCTAAAGGACAGCAACTTGGCCATCGCACAAGGTAAAGAAGGCAACTTAAATGGTCAAATATTAGGAGCAAATATTAAAGCAACCTAGCAGAATCAAGTGAGGAAGGAGAGGGGAAGTGGGGGGGGGGTTCATTCAGAACCTACATGTCTGTACTGAGTTGTCAAAGAGTGGCTTGAGAGCTTGACTGGCAGTCTATTCACTTAGAATAAACTATTGCATGGCAAGAAATTAAAAGAAATCACCCATTGGTTTCTGCTTACTGCAGGTTGTTGTTGGATTTTTGTTTTTTGTTTTGCATTGGCTTAGGGAAACTCAGATTTTATCTATTTTTTAAGAGCTGCTGGGCCAACAGTTGTACCTCTGGTATACCTGCTTAGATGGTAGGAAGCTGTAGTCAAGATGTGACATGCTTCTCGCAAATATTCAGCCAAGAATGGAGCACCCCAGAATGTTTTGCAATTTTAGAAAAGTCTGTGACTTGAAGGACAATGCTAGCTTCCTGGAAAATACATACATTTGCATGCTTGCAGTCTATTTAGCAATACTTTCTTTTGTATGCAAGTAAAGCATCAACAATGTGTGGAATAGCCCCAATCGTAAGAGCCATGGTGACACAGTGGTTAGAATGCAGTATTGCTGGCTAATTCTGCTGACTTCTCAGCTTTCCATCCTTCCTAGATTAGTAAAATGAGGACTCAGATTGTTGAGGGCAATATGCTGGCTCTAAACAGCTTAGAGAGTGCAGTAAAGCACTGTGAAGCAATGTATCAGTCTAAGTGCTATTGCTATTATAAAGCAAAAAACTCAGCATTTTTTAAACATTATAACCTTATACTGACAAATGAGAACTATAAAACAGGGTTTCAGAACGAGTTTAAACCAGGCATGTCCAACCCGCAGTCCATGGGCTGCATGCAACCCTGGATAGATAGTAATGTGGTCCTATAAAATTGTAATAAATCTGTAAAAAATAAAGTTTGTCATTTATATATATTTATATTATATATTTTATATGTGGCCCAAAACAGTTCTTCTTCACTCAGTGAGGCCCAGACAAATCCAAAGATTGGACACACCTAGTTTAATCAAATGTTTGAGAAATAATGTTGATGATAGATATATCTATAGCTAGTTGGAAGAAGAAAGATGTAACTAATTCCAGTAATGATTATCATACACTGGGATTAATATCCTAGGCTACAATACATTGTTTCTCTATCACTGAATTCTGATGAAATGAGCCACATAATATTCATGCCTTTTAAACTTGCCATAAGCAAAAAAAATCATTACCATGCTTGGGGCAGCATGAACAGTAAATCTAAATGGGGTGGGTGGGTGGGAGGATATATTTATCCCGGTCTTTCTTTACACCTATGATAACTTTCAGAAGTAAAAAAAAGTATGGTCAATTATCTATGGGTTTCAAAATCAGAATGATACTTGGCATTATATACTGATATTGTTTTGAATACAATCTCCATTAAACTTTCAATGTTTAACCTCAGGCACATCACTGGTGAATGATCAGAGTTAATTCACTATATTGTACAGGTAGTCCTTGACTTAAAAGAGTTCATTTAGTGACTGATGGGTGTTACAATGGCATTGAAAAAAATGTCTTAGGACTGTTTTTCACACTTACAACTGTTGCATCATCCCCATGGTCACATGATCAACATTCATATTCTTGGCAATTGACTAATATATTTGACCGTTACAGTGTGCTGGGGTCATGTAATCATCTTTTGTGACCTTCTATCAAGCAAAGTCAATGGAGAAACCAGATTCACTTAAGGACCATGTTACTAGCTTAACAACTGCAGTGATTCACTTAACAAGAAAGGTCAAAAATGTGGCAAAATTCACTTAACAATTTTCTCGCTTAGCAACAGAAATTTTGGACTCAATTGTGATCCAAAGTTGAACACTACCTGTATATTGTTGCGGGTATTTTTAGAATTAAATGTTTCTTCTTCCTAATGTTTATTCACCATTCGTCATGTTATTATATGGAAGTGGAACACTTCCAAGTGGGATCAAGCTTCAGTAGCAGCTTAACTGAGGCCCATTTTCCCTTACTAGAATTTGTTGGTGTTCCTTGAGATGAGATTATTATTATTATTTCACTTTATATCCAATCTTTCTGACCACTGAGTTCAACATATATGCAGGCTCAATATAATAGGAAAGTTCCCAGGATTAATCTTATCAACCATTCTCAAAGTATTCAATCCAGTCTAAGTTTCCCCACTTTGTCTTCATTCTCCAGAGATCCCAAGACTATTTAGTATTATGGCAAACTCATAGAAATCATGCAGCTAATATCTATTTTCTATAGAGCCTAAAAGCTTTGGTACTTACAGCAAACCCTATAACAAGCCATGTTGTACCAGCAAATCCTGCTAGTGTAGTAGACTAGTAATATAGAATCTGAATGTTTTTCCCCAAACCTGGGTTGAATCAAATGGAACAGGAAGAGACAAAGTGTGGCAGCCAGTCTATTCAATAGAACAGAACAGAACAGAACAGAATAGGAATAGGAATAGGAATAGGAATAGGAATAGGAATAGGAATAGGAATAGGAATAGGAATAGGAATAGGAATAGGAATAGGAATAGGAATAGGAATAGGAATAGGAATAGGAATAGGAATAAGATTCTCCGGTGCATAAGTTCACAGTATACATATAAACAACAAGTGACGAGTCATAGGTCATAAATCTTAGTTACAACCATTAATCATAAGTTACAAACAACAACTGAATGTTGCAGACACATTGGAATGAGGGGAAATCTTGTTTTCAAGCAGCAGAGAGGAAGCTCTTATTTTTGTCGTCCTGAGCGAAATGGGGTCAAATGCAATAGAAGTTTAAGCATAGTGGCACTCAAAATTAACTCTCCTTTTCTTCCTTCTAAAGCAGACGATCTTTTTGCTTGATAAATACCAGTCCCTCTCATTCCTTCTTGTTTGGTTGAACAAAAGTTATCTCTTCCCAGTCTTTATTTCTTCTTAACCAATGAAATACAACAATAGTTATAAATTGCTCATGGTCAGAACAAGGCATTGTTCTTTTGTAACTCAACTGCTATCCCTATAGAAAGAACCTCTTTATTTAAAAATTATAGAGATGGAGTCTTTTTAGCCAACCCAAAATCCATCCTAATATATTTCATAACAAAGTTTTGGGCTTTTGAAGAAGTGGACTGTAATCCATGAAAGGTTGTACACAGTGGTGGGATTCAATTTTTTTTACTACCACTTCTGTGGGTGTGGCTTGGTGGGCGTGGCATGGCTTTGTGGATGTGTCTTGGTGGACGTGGCAGGGGAAGGATACTGTAAAAGCTCCATTCCCTCTCCACTCCAGGGGAAGGTTACTGCAAAATCCCCATTCCCTCTTGATCAGCTGAGACTCGGAAGGCAGAGAATAGATGAGGGTGGGGCCAGTCAGAGGTGGTATTTCCCAGTTTTCCGAACTACTCAAAATGTCCGCTACCAGTTCTCCAGAACTGTTCAGAACCTGCTGAATACCACCTCTGTTTATACATGAGAATGCATTTGTATAGCCTTCTAAATATTCCTGGAGCAGCATTCCCAGGAGATCCAGGCACCATGGCCAATATTATTGTAAGGGTTAATGGAAAGTGAACTTCTACAATGCCCGGAGGTGCGCATGTTGGTTTTGCTGTGCTAAACTAATTAATGTGACTGAATATTCCGAGAGATTTTATTTTATTTTTTATTTATGAGAGATTCTTTTTTATTTATGAGGGATGTTAGACACACATAGGTTATACAGGAGGCAATGCCAAAAACTTTCCTTTCCAACATATTTCACAACACAAGGTTTGTCAGCCAAATGGGGTCACAAAGAACTTTGCAAAGTAAAGAACTCAGCAATTATTCATTCCTGACCTGGTCTCTCTTTCTGGAGTTTATTGCATATTTAGTGTCAGACAGCTAACTTAGCACGGTTAGAATAAACAGATCCAATACACAGAAATGCAGAAATTGCAGAATGTAATGTTCTTTGAGCAAATGAATAAATAGTGGTTCTTATCGCATCAACAAGAAAACTTCAGGGACTTATCCAGGTAATTTCCAGGAGTCAGTGCAGACTCCAAGGTGCTCATATGCTTATCCTGATAGCCTAGATTTTTAAAGTGGTCACAGCTTTCTAACAATGGCCAGGTTTTCCTCCAGGGGGAGCACAATGATAACTGAGGAGCTGAACATGCCACCAGCATATACTATCAAGCCTTTTTGTTTGCTTTAAGGCAGGGATGTTTGGTTTAGTCTTTCAAAAGATTTGGATGATCAGATAAATGGCAGGTGTTTTTTTTGCTGGTACAATTTATACACACACACACACACACACACACACACACACACAAACCCCAAGGCTGATGACACACTCTCCAATCTGCTGTGTCCCAGGGTTCTGGATAAGGTATTTTTCTATCCCGTGTAGTAGCTGTTTGTTCTTAAGAACTTCTATATAGATAGTCAATACCCCCGAGTCTGCTTCCTTGCTCTTTTGGTTTCCTTGCCCTCCTCTGCTGCTTTTCTAAAATCCATTGCTTTCCATTTTCTTGGATTAGAGTTTAGTTCTCCCCCCACCCTGCATGAGTGGTATTGGCACTGAAGATTGGAATTAATCAAGTTCAGAAACTGTTTCCCCAGAATTTTTAATAATAACTGTAGATTCATCTTGCTAACGCTTAGCATTCTGTTAACACATGTTATAACATTCTTGCATTATTAAGTTGTGCTGCAGAGAAACCACAGAAATAGAAGGCATTCACGGATGTCAGCTGCTCTGGCTGAGTGTTGAAAATGAAGAGTAGCAAGTGAGAATCAAATGTAAAAATCATCTGGAAGATTCAGACGATTATCTTATAATGATTGCTTTCATTATAAATATCTAATTTCAAATATGCGCATTCTACTCCTCTACACTGCAAGAAGTTTTGCTTTCAGCCAAGTCATAGTTTTCTGATTTCTTTCTTTCTTTTTTTCCGTGATTCTAATCTGACACTCTGCTTTCTCCACCAGCTGGACGATGTTATTTTCATGAAAGCTGATGGATATTACTTTACAGGATTCAAAATAGATCCCCAGCTATCAGGAACACTGGCAGCAGTTGACAGTTATGCACAACCATCATAATAGTTTCATCAACAAGTCCTATACATTCACTACAAAGTTATCAATCCCGAACAAATAATTATTTGCTCATCTTTTCCTCTTTCCACCACCTCCCCCCCCCCGAACCTTTCCTCACCACCACCATCCCAACCCAGGCACTGTGTTTGTATAGCTGACACTAATAGCTCTGTACTGGCATTTCTATTTTGGTAATTTTCCTCCTCTGCAGTACAACAGTAATGTAACAATGCTATAAATTGCTAAAGCACAGGTGTTAACTGAATGCTAAACATTTGCATCACTTCATGGGTAGATTTTATGAAGAACTCTGGGAAAACAGTTCTGAACTCTTAGCAAATGGAAAGTAACAAGACTAAGCCCTTGTTTACAAAAAAGAATGCCAGTTCCAGGGCCTTGCAAATCAAACTAATATTGCATTCACACACTTTTAGTTTCACCTTTAAGTAGTGTGCAGTATCTCTTGCCAACTGTATTTTCAACTTCTTTTACGGATGGAAAGAATTAGTGTTACCCGATTATTACAAACAACATCAGAGGTGGGTTCCTACCAGTTCGCACCTATTCGGTAGAACCGGTTCGTCAAATCTACCAAACCAGTTAGAAGAGGTTCCACCAGTGGACCCGGAAAGCAGGCCACACCTACAGAAGAGAATTTTTTTCCAAAAATTTTTGAAACCCACCACTGGTCCTTGGATATGATTATTATACACTATCATGCTCATATTTATAAAACTCCGTGCCTCTGTGAAAGGTAAGGATGACTACTGCGTTTGTGGTGCAATCAGAACATTGCGTGTGTTGAAGTTGTTTTAACGCAAAGCAAAGATGCCTTTTAAAAAACAAGTTTACATCATATCTTATGCATGCCAGTGCTGTGTGTGAGGTAATTTAAGGTGGTTCTGACAGGTGTTTTCGCCATCTTCATATCCGGTCACATGGGCAGCAAGCCACTCCCACAAAGGAGGCCACACCCACAGAGTAGGTTCCAACCTTTTTTGAAACCCACCACTGGTCCTTGGATATGATTATTATACACTATCATGCTCATATTTATAAAACTCCGTGCCTCTGTGAAAGGTAAGGATGACTACTGCGTTTGTGGTGCAATCAGAACATTGCGTGTGTTGAAGTTGTTTTAACGCAAACCAAAGATGCCTTTTAAAAAACAAGTTTACATCATATCTTATGCATGCCAGTGCTGTGTGTGAGGTAATTTAAGGTGGTTCTGTCAAGTGTCGTCGGCATCTTCATATCCGGTCACATGGGCAGCAAGCCACTCCCATCTGGTCACATGGGCAGAAAAGCCACTCCCACAAAGGAGGCCACACCCACAGAGTAGGTTCGAACAATTTTTGAAACCCATCACTGAACAACATGTACTGTTTTGGGTATATTGTATTTTCCTTTCCATATCTATCAGGTCACGTATCCAATATTAGAGACTGACATGAAACAATGTACATTTGAGGGGCAACCAGGCCTGAGGAGAAGGGGGGGTGCAACCAGTACATTGTTCCTAGGCCCATGGCGCTCAAGGGGGGGGGGCATGAAGGGGAACTTAAAAAAAAATCCCCTTCATTTCCCCTTTAAAATTTCCAAAATGGGGTGCAGGAGGGTATGCCCCCCCCATGCCCCATTTTGGGCCTAGTAAGCCTCCCTGCAGTACAGTTATGACATTATTGATTTAGGGGTCCCTGTGTAGGTGAGGAGGCCCATATTAGTCTTGTTCCAGCATTTAATAATCCCCTCGGCGGCCCTGAGGACAACCTACTTCCAAAAATAGTGCAAAGGGCAAGCACATCTATTGTATATGCCCCTGATGGTGGATATAGTGGTTGTGTTCTAGCAGTACTTTAAGAAAATCAAGATAAAGTACAAAATGGCCCATTGTTCAACCAGATTGAGTAGACCGATGGCCCCATTTTTAATAATAAGAGACTGAAAAAAATATTCCATGACATAAAATAAAATGTTTGCTGCACCATAAAAGACAGCCATTGTTCCTGTATATTCTGAGAAAGGGAGATTGGGTCTTAAAAACTAAAGAAATCCAAGACTATTTGAAAAGCTGAAATAGAAAACCATAGATTTGCATAGATTTATTATACCAAATTTCCTCCCCCCCACCAACAAATCAAAAAGTAAGGTTACTTAGAGATGAAAACTAATGTGATCAACACTACCTATGTTCATTATATTTATAAGATTTAGTCGAATTTCCATCTGATATTTCTATTGCAAGAAGCCCCAAACTCTATCTCAAGGACTCAACAGTTACTTTTGGATATTTTGTCCCACATTCAGAGTAGAGGACATCGTATATCTTGGCTCAAGACAGGATCATCATCTGCCTGCCTGGCTGGCTGCTCCCAGATCCTGAGCGTTCCTAGGAAAAATGAAAAAGATTAGCCTGGCTTGCTTGATTTCCCCAATGCTTCAAATATCTTTTATGAAGTCTGTCTCTGGAACTTGGACATCACATTATCAGGGTCAGCTTTTGAGATAGGCCAGATCAGGAAAACAACTCCAAAAATCCGTGTTTATTGAGATTGGCTGCAGCAACAGAATCCTCAAAGCCTGACTGCATTTTCCCTCCCTTCCGTCTATACCCCAGGGAGCCAGTCTGAGACTCTTCCTAATATTTTGCTTCTTTCTTAGATCTGAAGAATATTTTTACAGGTTGTTGTAACCATGTCTGCATAGTTTCTCCAAAAATGTCACTGTGGTGGTTGATTCTTTTATGGGAACAGTCCATTCCCATTGCTATCTGCTGTACATTAAAGAGAGGATTTTATTTAACTATTTGTTTACTTTAAAGATTTGTATGGTCACGCATCTTTAAAGGCAACTCTGGATAGCTTACAACAATAATAAAACTACTGAAAACTACATAAAAACCATAGCAACATAAAACCATTCAACAACCATGCCAATCTCCACCCCAGTGTCTGGTCTTGAGCCAGGTTTTGACAGCCTTCTGGAAGGCTAAAATGGTGGAAGCTATTGCAGTAGAAGTTATTCCATAATGGGGTAGTCACAGAAAAGGAACACATGGCAACATTTTAGAGAAAGGACATAGTACAACATATCTACCCTATCTACTCTGGTACAACAAGCAATACTCCCAGGAAGAAGCAGTCCCACAAATAACTTGATCTCGTGCCATGTAGCACTTTAAAGGTGATAACCAATATCTTGAATTTCACCCAGAAGGTGTCTGGCAGCCAGGGTGGATCACACTTCAGAAGTATAGCATGGGCAACTTGGAGGAGCCTAGTCCTATTCACACTGATATATTCTGGACCAGTGTTAGCTTCCTGGTGATCTTCAAGGGAAGCCCCATGTAGAGCACTTCCCAGGAGATCCTGATTTCAAATTCAGAATGAGTTTAAGCCCCTTGCCAATGTTACTTAAAGGATCTGGCAACATATGCAGGAGATTACAGATTTTCTTAGATGTTCCATTCCCAGATACCCCTCTCCCTTCTTCCCCTTTCTTTCTGCTGACACTGTCTCATCTTTTTTCTCCTTCTCTGTACCTACCACACTTTGTTCTTTTCCCATAACTCAAAGAAAACAATATTCCATGGCTCTTTTTTTTCTTTGACTTTTAAAAGAATTTGGGCACTTCAGAGTGAAGTTATAGCACCACCGTTTCTCTAGAGAGCATCTGAGGGAGTAGGCAGGGAGAAAGAGGAAGAAGAAATGGGAGGGACAAGGGACTGATGCAAAAAGATACAAGGACTTCCAAAGTGGGAAAACTTTGGGTTACGTGCAGTCCTAATAGCACTAATTGTTTCCGACTAGATAATATAGCTATAAAATAATTTCCTACCTCCTGTGGTCTTCATTCTCTCTCAGGAACTTGTGCTTGTGCCTGTCCTTGTAGTGCCTGAATGTCTGCAGTGCTCCGAACAGTCCAGAGCTATGTTACAGTGAACTGTTTCACTGTAATCTAAAATGTTTGTGCATGGAAAGCTTCATCTTCTGAAGCATCTTGAGAATCTAGTGCATACACAGGTATTTACTATGTTGATTGATGCCATATCAGGATAACAAAATACTCTTTTATAGCTATTTTTAGAAATATATAATGATTATTCATTAGATAAATAAATTCCTTTTTAAAAAATTATTGCATCGTATTTAACCCTACCGTAATCTTCCATTGCCCTCCCCTTCAATTTCTAACATTGATAAGACCGACTACCTATTGAATGAAATGGAAGCTTAAGAACAAATGGTAAATTGCTGTTTATCAGTTTAAGTGCTACTTGTTCAAAAGTTGGAGAAAAACAACAATGCTGGTCCCCCCCCCCATACTTGTCAAGCAGCATTAAGCAAGCTGTCAAATATTAGATAAATTGCACTGAACATAATGTCTTTATTCTACAGAGACAGTTAATCCAATTAAAGAACCTGTGCAAATCATTGCCAAGGCTGGGACATGGGATAGTAATTCAGCTTCCTACCTAGGCTGCAGTGTATTTGTGGATCAGAGCAAAATCCCCAAACTGAATGATCATCAGGACTCTTACGAACAGTTCCTTGGCAAGTCTAGGAAAGAGCTGAAGAAGCTAGCAAGGGAAGGATGTTGGGCTGGAAGCCATACCCTGAGAGCCAAGGCTTACCAGCACATTATCCAAGATATACCATGCCGCCTAATGACTCCTGATGCCTTCGTCTACCGAGATGTGGCCAGCAAGTTATTTGGAAACCAGAGCGAAAGTTTCGATCCCTTGCCTGAATTCCTGTCAGGAAGCATCATGCCCGAATACTGCCTCACTCCAGAAGGGATAACGGCTTTGAAGAAAATACTTATCTGCATTTCCAGTCTCTACCCTGAGATTACATACTGTCCTTTGCTCCCAGCTGTGACTGCTCTGCTGCTCCATTACAGCCAAGATGAGGCCCAATGCTTTGAGATTACTTGCCGACTCCTCTACTCCAAGGCTCCCCACACCACCTACATAGACCAGTCCTTCCTGGCTCATGAGGCCTCCTGTATGACCTTAAGGGACTTAGCCAATAAGCACTGCCCAGCAGCCCATCAACTGATAGCAAGCTCGTCAGACATTTTTGAGGTGTACTCTGAGTGGTTGGTGTGGCTCTTTGATGATCTTCCCTTTAATTATGTCATTCGCATCTTTGATGTGTATCTCTTGGAGGGGCAAAAAGTCCTTTACCGCATTGCTCTGGCACTGCTGAAGCAATACCGTCTCTTCATGACCTCAAGAGGACAAGAGGTAGTTGACATCAAGGGAAGCTTGCAGGCTTTCCTGTGGGACATTCAGGAATACTTGGCAGCTGACAAGCTTTTAGAGAAAGCATTTGGCATCCGGCTTTTTTCCTGCAAAGAAATCTGGCTTCTTCAAATGGCTAACCGGAAGGCTCTGGTGCATAAAGGAGTAACTATGGTGCATCACAGGTATAAGAACTTTGTTTACTATATTTTGGGGCATGTCATAACATTTCCAGTTACAAGATGCTAGACAATACAACTCAAATGACTGCAGAACCTACCTAATTAGAATAACCCATGCAGAGTATTTTCTGCCCATCCTATCAATCACAGTAAAATATGCCTTCACCCACAGAGAGATTCTAGACCACAACTACCATAATCTGTCTGAGCTCATAATATATATTGGATAATCCTGCCAGTAGATAGTACTGGTCAAGTATGCATGCACCTTTTAAAAATATATATATAATAAACACATTTGATCCATGTTAGATTTATACCAGCTTTGAAAAAAGTGTAGAAATAAGCATAAGGATACATTAATAATAGCCCTGAAAGCAAATTGGTTTAAATTTCATGTGTTTTAACAATCTACCATTGGGATCTACCATTTACTGTATAGTTTAAGCCTTGCTGTGCTTTATATTTCTCTGAGATATATTAGAACTTAAGAGTAGGATTTTGTTTTAGCCAAACTTCATTGCTCAGTCTGAATAGCACTAGCACTTAGATTTATATAACGCTTCATAGAGTAGATATTTACAGCCCTCTCTAAGTGGTTTACAGAGTTAGCATATTGCCCCCAACAATCAGGGTCCTCATTTTACCACTTCGGAAGGATGGAAGGCTGAGTCAACCTTGAGCCTGGTGAGATTCGATCTGCCAAACTGCTGGCAGCCAGTGATCAGCAGAAGTAGCCTGCAGTACTGTACTCTAACCACTGTGCCACCATGGCTCTTCAATGATAAAACATGGTCTTCCAAAGCCCATTACTGACAGCAGATATTTTCCCAAAAGAACATATAGAATATCAAAGTCAGACCCCAAGGCTTCAGGATCTGCCCCACACAAAGCTTGAATGTTGCTTCCAGAATCTCTCCAGTAGTTGCAATTGAATTATCAACCTAACTGTATTTAGTTAATAACTGGCAGAATGATATTTAAAAATTCCATTTAAGCTAAAACTAGCCACACTCTGAGTACCCACTTATGAACCAATCATCAATAATAACATTCTTAGCCTGTTTTCTGATTTTATTTCTAATATGTTTTATTTTGAACATTGGTTTATGAGTGCAATAAATTCTACTTAATTGATGAGCTTGTTCTTGTCCTGCCCCACTTTTCTCCTGGTCTTGTTCCCATTTTGGAGTATGGCTGCCAGCATGCCATTAATGGGCAAGTGGCCTGAAAAAGTTGGAGAAGGCACCACATTATAGAGGACTCCATATGCCTTTTAGGTTGCTGTTTCCTTTTTTGAGTTGGATAAATGAAATGGACATTTCTATTACCGTAGTAATATTGTCAAGATATGCCAGCTTAAAATCACGTCTAATATCAGATTCAGCATCAAATCCTGAAACCTAAAAATACTAATTTCTGTAAAGTAAAGTAAACTTAGTTTCAGAGCTGGGAACAATATATTGTCTAAAGAAGGTTGTCTAGTTTATACATGTGTAGGATATATGTCTCCGTGTTAAAATAATCTTTCTTTGTTTTTTCTTTGAAAAGTCCAGTTGCCTTTTGAAAAAGCATCTTTGGGATAACCATAATCTGGATGACTGAGCAGCTTCATAAATATTAAATAGTGAGCAACTGTCTTTTTAAGACAATTCTAATTTGAAGAGCAAAGGATATCTTATGCTTCACCCAAAGTATAAAATTCTATCCTGAAGGAATATGTAGATGTAAATGTAAAAAGAATAAGGAAAGCTGAGTACCAGCAGATCACATGATGATCCTTGCTCTAAAATATGTCCCAGAGTTTATGTCCATTGTGTGTCCTGTACTATTGCAATTCCAGGATGTAATATAATCAGCAGTTGTTCCTGCTTGATAATTGTTTGCAAAGAATGCCCTCTCTATCCTAAAAGTCAATCTCTTTGGAATTATAGTTTGATTAGAGCCTCTCATTTCTTTTCCCACTGCACAGACAACCATTCCACCTCATTGTGAATGCACATAATTTTAGTTCCACCATTGTTAAAGCTCAAGAAATGCGCATTGTGTGGTCCTGGATCCCAGAACGATTTTCTTTATACCCACCTGTTCTTTTATTCTCAACTTCTGAAAACGGATACAGTTTGCAAAGGTAAGGGCCATATTTTCAAAGTATTAACCAAAATATGACACTTATTAAGGCACATAATAAAGTGAACTGAGCTAAAAAGTTTAGACCAATTAAAGAATTAGGAGAAGAAACTGAATAGAACATTAGAAACAAGAGCATCGTATTTTTACAAAGTGATAGCTTTGGCCTTACAAAGATTATAAAATCTCCACGTTCCAAGTTGCCAACATCAAAGAAGCTATATTAAAGCTTAGTTTAGTATTCTAATGTGGTCAGAATGCTGATGTGCTTTTAAAAAAAGTTGCCTTAGACAATGTTTATTCATACAGTCCATTTAAGTGCTTATGATACTGACACTACAATTGATTTTGGCATAGCTGAGAATTCCACATAATTACCTAAGGTCTAGTACAGTGTTCACAATGAATGGGCACGGCATTTCTAGACCTTCACAAAACAAAGCACTTGGGAAGCTTACTACAAAAAATATATATTAAAGACTGAGCAAACATTCAGAATAAGAACTATGGTTTATGCACCTTCCTTAAGCTCAAATGAGGGCTAAGGATCCTGTAATACTTAAAGGCCACCCTCTTTTGCTGCTGACACAAGTATTTGAGAGTTCTTCATCTTTTCTTGGAAACATCTTGGATTCTGGCATAACTGAAAAACTGGAAATTGGGAAGGTATCTCAAGCCAATCTTTTAGGTACAAAAGCATAGAAAAGGATGCCAAGGTGACTAATTCATTATACTTGGGAGTTCCTAGGGTAGTCTGTTGGATCTCTAAGCATGCTTATTAAGGCTGCTTAGTACTTCAGGATCAATGGCAATAGCCCTTACCACTTCACAGTACTTTACAGCCCTCTCTAAGTGGTTTACAGAGTCAGCATATTGCCTCCAACAATCTGAAACCTCATTTTACCCACCTCAGAAGGATGGAAGCTAAATCAACCTTAAGCCTGGTGAGATTTGAACTGCTAAATTGCAGCCAGCCAGCAGTCAGCAGAAGTAGCCTTTAGTACTGGACTCTAACCCAGTGTTTCTCAACCTTGGCAACTTGAAGATGTCTGGACTTCAACTCCCAGAATTCCCCAGCCAGCATTCTCTGGCTGGGGAATTCTGGGAGTTGAAGTCCGGACATCTTCAAGTTACCAAGGTTGAGAAACACTGCTCTAACCAGTGCGCCGCCACAGCACAACCTTCAAAAAGTGCTTCAGAGCATGCAGGTGCATGAATACAATATTCGCCTGGAGCATTTTAGAATATTGTCCACCCAACCCCAACAATCTTGTGATGATTAAAGGTTTTGCAGGGAGGCACTCTATTCACACTCCCCTGAGTTCCAAATCATTTTACAAAGATAGCATCCAAAGTGCTGCACAGCCTTAGTGCCTATCCCATCTCTGTTCACTAAACAAATAATAGACTCTTATGGGCTTAGTGTGGGCGATGAAACCTCCAAGAAATTCCTAATTTGGATATTTGCTCATCAGAAGCAATTTCCAAGTAGAGTGCTCAGACAGTAGCATAGGTAAATTTCTCTGGAAATGTACCCTTTGGCAGAAGATGCAATTAGAAAGCTGCCACTGAAATCAGTATCTCATTGCTTTCTTTTGAATGATCCTAATCAGCACATATTCAGGACAAATAGCGGCGGGGGGACACACCAGAGAAAATGAAGGGGTAGGATCTTTAAAAATTCATGCTTTGGAACTTTCAAGTTTAAAAAATATAACGTGAGAAGACACACGAGAAGGAGGGGATTGTGATGTATTTTTTTGGAAAACAAGTAATACTAAGATTTATCATAACCGGATCTTCAGGTATTACCGGTAGGCGTTCTTCAGAACCTATTTATTTAACAGTTTTACTTTTCTCCGACTATAAAGTTTCCCAGAATCAAGAGTGGACTGCTGGGGTTTTGCAGGGGTTCGGGAGAACCTCTAGGTAAAATTCTGTGCAGTTTGGAGAACCCCCAAATCCCACTCCTGTCTGGCCCCATCCACCCTGCTCCTCCCCTCCCAGGAGACCCAATGCAGCCCATTTTGGATACAGGTAAGTACAGAATGCACACTGAGGCTCGGGGAGGGCGAAAAACGGGCCTACCGGAGCCTGGGGAGGCTATTTTCGCCCTCCTGGAGGCTTGAGGAAAACCTCTGGAACCTGGAGGGGGCAAAAATGGTACAGGAGGCTGACTAGGCCACGCCCACCATGGCCACGGCCACAGAGCAACCAGGCAGGGAACCCCTTGCTAAAAATTTTGAAGCCCACCCCTGCCCAGAATGGCATACATAAGGTTAGTAAAATCAAAATAGCCTCTAATTTCACTTTTCAGATCTAGAACAGATCTCTCTAAGCGGGAGAGAAAAAGAAAAGACGAATAGAAGAATCAAATCAAGGCCACACTTCTTAAACCAGCATATTCTTGCTATGATTAGTTTCAAATTGAAATACTCAGGAAATAGCAATGTCAGATAAGGGCAGGAAGGAGCTGATGGAACGGATCTCTCCTCAGAGCTTGTAGAATAAATTTCTTTCTTTAGCCAAATAGGAGGGACCTTTCCTATGCTTAGATTCTTATGAAGTAATACTTCAAGAAATTTAACTAAAGAAATCCCAAACGCCACAAAGCAGCTCCTCACTTTTAGGCATATATTGGACCTGACAAGCCATGAGGAAATAGCCTCTTTCCTGATGTTCAGCAATCTTCTGCAAAAGTGAATCTCCACCAGAGTGAAGTAGCTCATCCTGACTGCTCTTGATTGCTGATATCAAGGCAAAAACTCTTGCTTCTTCATAAGAAACCACTGACTTGAAACAAATCATTCCAGAGATCATGATAGAGGATGGCTCCATAGAGTGAAATGGTGCTGTTTTACATTGGCCTATCTCTTATTCTGCCATTCAGAAAGGAGCCTGCTGGGAAGAGGGCAGAAGTCATTGAATGAATTGACATTAGCAGTGCTGTGGAGATGGCTGAAGGCCTGATAATGTTAGAAGACCCATATATATGTGATGAATGTTTTGGACTGCCCCTATGCCAGGCTCCTAGGATCTTCTCTATAGTTCATATAACCACCTAGCCATTTAATCATTTTTTTGGGGGGGGGTTGTATTCTAGCCATTTTCCTGTAAGTATTTTCCTGTAAGTAATTTCAAAATAGAAGGGAATTATTTAGAAATCCCTGTACATTTAGGAAAGTACGTCAATAACCAATTGTATATAAAAACAGCTTTAGGATATGTTGGGACAGGTGTGAAAACCTCATACCCTCTCAAAAGATGAATGTGACTAGACATCCTTAATAGTGTGAACATTACAGCTCGGAGCATCTAACAGCCAAGGTGCACCTACGTCGAAAGTATCAGTCTTTTTACAACTACAATTAAACTGTCTGATGCCAAACACAGGAATCTGTGTCAGGATCTTGCACTTGCCTTAGAGATTATGATGCATTCAGGTTTTATGTGAGCAATTGCCTGCTTCACTGAGCAGAAATTATAGCTTCAAAATGTCTGCTTTGCAGTTATTATACAACATGGAACAAAATTATCTCATTATTGTTTATACTATAGGTGTATGTAATGCGATTTTGAATTCTTTTTGCAATATTTTGTTGCTTTTTTTTTTTTTTGAAGTTGCTCATAATCACCTTGGTTGAATTGGGTAACCACTTAAAAGTTTTAAATAAAGAAAGGAATATTGGTGGGACTGAAAGAATGTTTTGGCTTTTCCTTTATGGATTTAACAAAACAATGACATGTTAGCAGTCATTACCAGCTGCTATTCCTCAAGGCATTTTAGATAGTGATGTCAAACACAAAAAACAATAGGCGCTCAAACAAACTTCTATGGAAATCCAAAAGGGGAAAGAAGGTTTTATACAGATAATCCTCATTTGCAGTTATGTTTGTGATGAAAAAGTAACATCACGATGGTGCAGTGGTTAGAATGCAGTACTACAGGCTACTTCTGCTGACTGCCAGCTGACTGCAATTTGGTAGTTCAAATCTTACCAGGCTAAAGGTTGACTCAGTCTTCCATCCTTCCGAGGTGGGTAAAATGAGGACCCAGATTGTTGGGGGCAATATGCTGACTCTGTAAACTGCTTAGAGAGGGCTGTAAAGCACTGTGAATCAGCGTATAAGTCTAAGTGCTATTGCTAGTTATGACCAGTCCTCACAAGTATAACCATGCAGACCTGTAAGGCAAAGAAAGCTTAAGTAACATCATAAGAACAGTCACAGTTCCATTTAAGTGATACCTTCATTTAACAACTGACTTGCTGAACCCAGTTGTGATCACTAAAATGCATATAAAGCATCATGAGGCTTTATTCAAGAGCAGAAGATGCTGTAGGAGGTGTGCAGGGGAAGAGGCAGGAACTCTGCTGCTATCCTAAAAAAGGAGACAGAAATGAAGAAAAAGGGGTGCTTAGCTCTAGTATTAATAAGGCTTTAAGATAAATGAGAGGATCAGCTTTGCTGCCCAATATCTCAGCACCTTCACATTCAATTTAGTGTCTTTCAGGGTCAACCTCTGGGATAGACAGGACTAGAAAATCAGCTCCATAGGAAGACTAGAACTATACTTTGTTGAGATTGGCTATAATAGCAGAATCTTGTAAATCTGAGTATTCTGCACCTATCCTCTTTCTTATACTCCTGTGAATTAGGGAGATATCTGCCTGAGCCACTTCCAAATATTATCTTGTTTCCCAGGACTTAAATAATGTCCTAGCCTCTTTGTCTAAGGTTCTTGCATATTTTCCTGTCCCTTTCTCCAGATCCTTTAAATCATTGCTCTGACAATCCCACAAGGAGTTTAAAAACAGTACAATGGCATATTTAGAAAATATATAGAAAAAAATATACATTGTTATTAAGAGTTTTACACAAAAACTATGTCAAATAAAGAGGGAGGGAGGTGCAGAAACAAAAGGTAAAAAGAAATAGGAAGAAGCTTCTGATATCCTTTGCAGCAAATAAAAATAAAATTAGAAAATTATCTCTTGTTCAGTGATTACAAAAAAGCTCACTTTTTTCTATTGTCAAGGTTTCCCCCCCCTAATCATCAAAATCACAGGTCCTAAGATTCCCTCCCCCCCTTCCCTATTCATACAAAAAGGAGTTTTCAATCAGCCTTAAATGTAAGTATTGTTTTTTTTCTCTGATCAAAGAAGTTAATTTAGCAATTTCTGCAATTTCCATCATCTTCATCACCCATTCCTAATGGTTATGGAAGATTTACAGCAGAAAATTATCTGCATAAAAAATGGAATTTGTTCTACTGAATACACATTCCATAAGTGCATGTTCCTGTGACAATGTAAAACAAGTGAGGTAACTTGATAACTTCTATTTCAGAGTCTGTCTGGTTTCCATCTTTCTTGCTCCAGGCTTATTAATAAAGTACTAAGGATAAAATGCTCCACTGTTCAAGCCATCTCCATCTCAATGCCATCAAGGAATTGCTTTCCCAGCCACTAGCAGGGGACTCATTTCATCCCATTTCTTTTGCTACCTACAGGTTTTATTCCTGCTGTGAAGGCTATGAGCCAACTTTACTGTTGTTAAAAAACACACTGGGAGAAGTAAGTGATTTAGTTCTGAATATCTCAAAAAATTCTGGGGTAGTGTGATCTTCCATCTGTGGAATAAAACAGAACCCATTCAAAGCCATATGCAGCAAGTGTATTACGGGCTAAAAACAAAATTCTGTGCTTAAAATATTAGCATGCATTCATTTACTTCTATCTAAAAAATGATGCCCAACTCTCTCAAAAGTCTGCGTGTTAAATCTTATTACATCAGGATTTTCAAATAATGCTGACGATGGAGGTAAGTAGATTTCTGAGAGCCGAATGGAGGTTGGTGAAAAGACAAGGACTGAAGAAAAGATAGGGGGCTTTATAAAACAACCAGAAAGTTTTCACATAGAACTGTTTATTGTTGTTCCAAAAATAAAACATATTGGTTGTCAAAACAAAAAATGTGGGGAGGGGGATTTAATCAATACAAACAAATGAATGAATATGTTCCTATCAGAGACATTTTCAAAGGTAATAATTTCTATATTGAATATCTATTTCCTGCCCAATGAGGAGGAAGGGAAAGCATTCCAAGGGTTGTTTTGCCAAGTTTGCCACCAACTGTGAACGCCAAGTGCTCAATAGGAAATTGCAGGCAATTCTTATATGACACACATTTCTTTTTGCTCACAGCTTTATAGGGAGAGGTGTACATCTCAGTCTCAAATGCACACTTAGAAGCACTAACACCTGGACATGTTTTAAGTTGCTTCCCGGTCCTAAATTTAAAGGATGAAGATCATGCTTGGCTATTAAGAATAGAGTGTTTCAGATAAAGAGCCACATCTCTGAACAGTCTCTCTAGTGAGCATTGTCTGATGTCCTCTTAGATTGCCATGGTGGCGAATATCTATAACTCGGGTATAGGATGAGGGTGGAGGTTCTTTCGCTAAGCTTCTGGATTGGTTTCTAAATGTTTCATTGCCAGGCTAGGTAACATATTCTGTGGAGCTTAGGGGATGTCAGTGTCGGTGTTTTTCTATTTTTAAAAACTTCATGTGGTCAGTAGGTCTTGGGGTGGGGAGGTCACATCAGGTGAGGGTTTCATCCATTGTTTCTTGTCTGGGCTTCAGGTGCTTTGGATAATAGGTTGACCCCCTTCTCTCTGTGACAGTCCCTCAAATATTGGAACACTGCTATCATGTCACCCCTGGTCCTTCTTTTCATTAAACTAGACATTACCCAGTTCCTGCAACCGTTCTTCATATGTTTTAGCCTCCAGTGCCCTAATCATCTTTGCTGCTCTTCTCTGCACTTTTTCTAGAATCTCAACATCTTTTTTATAGTGTGGTGACCAAAACTGGATGCAGCATTCTATGCGTGGTCTTACTAAGGCTTTATAGAGTTGTATTAGTACATCACATGAACTTGATTCAATCCTTCTGTGGATTGAATGTCTTGTGGTGAGTCCAATATGGGTCACATCAAGTGAGAGTCTTCATCTCCGCAGATGTTACCCAGCCTGATAATGAAACATTTGGAAAGTAACCCACAAGTTTGGAGAACGAACCTCCACTTTCATTCTCTTGGATGCCAGAGAAAGATCTGATTTTGGTTTGTGAGAATTTTAATCTCCAGTGTTATTTTGTGCTTCTATCTTCAATTACTTGAGTATTTCTAATCTTTGATTATGTATTTTACTGATTGCTTTTTAGCCTTTGTTACCTAGAATTGTATGTATTCTTTTACTATGTTAGTCACACTAGAAGCACAAATTACTTATGAGGCTTAAAATTTCAGTGGATTATCTTACTCAAAACTGCTCCCCTAAACCTGTATACATCAAAAGGGGATACTGTAGCCCCGTCCCTAATGTTCTGCTCCAGGGTGCCCTCATAAAGTAAATGGAAGATGATAATCACATGTTTTTAAACTACATCTTCACATTGCTTGGTAACACCATCTTTTCACTGGATGTTTTGAATACAATAAGATTTTAAGTGGTCTTTTGTAATCTTTCATTTCCTTAAGTCTTTTTGATTATCAGAAAACCTTATGCAGTTGTTCACATCTTACTCCCATTCAGGTATGTGGAGCATTTCTTTCCTCTGACTGGAAGGAAAGAAAAAAACGGGGAGGAACAACAAGTTTCTTTGGAACAGGAGAATGCTTTATTTTTACAGTAAGTTTAATTTATTTCTATAGCAATAGCATGTAGACTTGTACCCTGCCCCATAGTGCTTCACCGCACTCTCAGTTGTTTATACAGTCAGCATATAGCCCCAAACAGTCTGGGTCCTGATTTTGTTGATCACAGAAGGATGGAAGGCTGAGTCAACCTCAAGCCCTATCAGGATCAAACTCCAGGCTGCGGGCAGAGTTTGTCTGCAATACTGCATTCTAACCACTGCCCTCCAGGGCTCCATGGAGGAGAATATATTGGTTTATAAGTAATTTCTTTCAGTTTCTTTTATGCAGTGACGTGCGGTGAGGTTTATACCTGGTGAGGCTCAGCTGGGCATCCTTTTGCGAAGCAGCTCAGCAGGGTAGCGGTCGGCCTCGGCAGGGGGGGGGGATTTGCATTGCGGGAGCAGCCAAGCTCCCTTTGCTGCAGACCCGGGCGCTTGGCTGCTCCCGCGATGCAAATCCCCCCCCTGCCGAGACTGACCCACGATGCAAAGTGCCCCACCGCCCCCAATGCTGCTGCTCGCCCGCTGCCCCGGCCTGCTTCTCCAGGCTCCGCCGCTGGAAGTCCCGGATCGCCTCTGGGGGAAGGCTGGGTGAGAAGCAGAGCGAAGCTTCTCCGCGGCCTCCCGGCGCTGTGCAGAGGCTTTCGCAGGAGTGCGTGCCAGCGGCCGGCGGCTCAGAGCGGCCCCGGCTGCGAGACAAGGCAGCGCTTAAAGCAGCTGCTGCCGCCGCCACCACCCCTCCTTCGCCCGCAGGAGGGGCGGTGGCGGCGGCTGCTTTAAGCACTGCCTTGTCTCACAGCCAGGCCTGCTCCGGGCCGCCAGCCGCTGGCACGCGCTCCTGCAAGAACCTCTGCGCAGCGCCGGGAGGCCGCAGAGAAGCTTCGCTCCGCTTCTCACCCAGCCTTCCCCCAGAGGCGATCCGGGATTCCAGTGGCGGAGCCTGGAGAAGCAGGCCGGGGCAGCAGGCGGGAGGCGGCAGGGTACTTTGCATCGTGGGAGCCACCAAGCGCCCAGGTCTGCAGCAAAGAGCGAGCCTCCTCCTTCTCCCCCACTCCTCTCTCCTCTGAAGCACGCCCTCCGAAATAACCCGCCCAACGTAAGCGTGCTCAAGAAGACATGATTCGCTGCTTCCAGATCAGGAGGCGGGAGAATTAGTGCCTCTTTTGCATCTGAACTTTTTTGCCTTTTAATTCTTTCTTAACTTTTAGAAGGCAAAAAATTCCTTATGGAAAAGAGGCCCCGAGTTCTCTCATCTCCTGCTTTGGTTAACACTAAGCAGACACCAAGCCACTGTGACTTGGAATCTGGTAGCAACTATCTTGGCTTTAATTATTTAAAAAAAAATTTAAATTTCTTTCTTTTTCCTGAGAAGACTGGTGAGGCTCTGCCTCCCTTGCCTCTAGTGACTGCACGTCCCTGCTTTTATGCATTGGTCAGTCTGATCCAAATCTAACCCTCAGTATAACCCTCCAACCTAAGGTATGATGAAAATTAGAAAATAGAGCTCATATGTATTTTGGGGCTTCACATGAATCCTACAAGGAATGAAAACTGTTGCATTGTTCCAAAATAAAACTATGTCCCTGAATGCCTTCCCAAAAGATGTAAGCCCTCCCCCCAACATTACTTCATTGGATGTTTTTCTACAGTCACTTCCAGTGAAGTGCACCACGGTACATGTTATGTATTTTTCCCTACAAACATAGAAATTGCCAGGCCCATTCCACTAACTGCTAATCTAGTTGATTCTCCTGAATCATAATACCTGATAATTCTTCCTTCTCACAACATACTTGTTAGGTAAGCTCCCCGTTGGGAGAGCGAGTACGTTCAGAGAAGCGTTGTGAGAGTTGTGTTGGAGAACACACAAACTAGCATACAGAGACACTGCGGTTAAATAGGCTTTACTTTTGTGGAAATAGAGGTATCAGAGTCCATCAACAGTCCAAGTCATACACGGTTAAGACAGTCAGTCATCAACATCTTTCAGTTAAGGGATAATCCAAATAACATAGTCCAGTATCATATAATCAGTTCAGTACTCAATGTTTGCTAGCAGTTGCAAAGCTTACAATAGCTCACGGCACTTTCTAACAGCCAGCTTCCAAAACACTCAGATCAGATCAGCCCAGCATGATAATAAACAGAGAGCTAACAGTCATTCTGGCTCCCTCTTATGGCTGATTTAGGAAAACAGCAGCCAATCACATTTTACAGTATGATTTAAAGAAACAGGTACAGCATTGCTATATGATTTATATATTGCCAACCCAACTGCTAGAATTATATTCCTAACAATACTAATGTTCCAACTTTTCCAGCTTAACCAGCTTAAGCCAAAATTTAAATATAAACTAAAATTGTAACTTCATTTTTCATTGTAATTGAGTCATTTTTTGGGGGGGAGGGGTCTGATCTTGCTCTCTTCTTTCTGGGAAAAGGTCCCCTTCACTTTACCTAAAAAGAGCCACTCTCTGCCTACATCTCACTAACCATTTGCTGATGTCAAGATCTTAACCAAAATCTGTTGTGTGAAGTAGCCAGAGCTTAACAAAATCTGAGAACAATATTTTTGAATGGTGTTTTCAGCAGCAAGGTCAATAGGGGATGTGACAGTGATGGCTGGAATTTTTTGAATAAAATAAAATGGGTTACTTTATATATTTGATAATTCCAAATCATGCCATAGCATGCCATCAACAAGTGGATGTGTAACATCAGGGACTTGCAGCTTGTGTATCTCTGCTTTAGAGCTTCCTATCCCCGCAGAGTCCTTGCCAAATGTACCGAATAGTCACAGTTAGGATATCTGTTAGAGTTTTTCTTAATCTGGTACAGATCATAAGCAGATAGACTGAATTTGTTTTTGTTTTTTCTCTACAAAAACTGTTTTATTATTCAAAATTATACTCCTATTCCTTACTTGTAACCTTAATGCTAATTGTATGCTTGCTTCTAGTTTTCCACATTTCTGAATCTACAGGCTTCCCAATACTATAATTTTATAGTAATGGGATGATTTTGTCCTAATTTATACACTCTTTATCTCTAAGTTCTACCTCAATGTTCCCACTTCTGTGTTTGTAACACTATGTCTCCTTTGTCTTAACTATTAGTTTAAACATTTTCTTTTTCCCCTGTCTTCAGCTCTTGTAGCCAGCCCAAGTCCTTTGCATATAAAACCCCTTTCTCTCCATAGATTTTGTTATGGGCTTTTCTCTCCCCCAGCTCTTAGTCTTTCTGAAACTGGTTTGTAGTCATGCTTGGGTTTATAGACACTGAACAGGCTTCTGTCCTTCTCTGTCTCTTAGCTGATCTTGCAGGGCCGAGAATTGTAGTTTTCTTTAGCTTGAAGATCACTGCTTTGTCTTAGAGGCTTCTCTTTCCCACTTTACTGATGTCTTTGGGGTTTGATTTCTTTTTAGCTAGCGTACCCTTGTTGGGTTTCAGTTTTGACTCAAGAAATCTTCTCTAATTAAGGAGAAGATAAGGCTGTTTTAACCCTCCTTCCCAGTGATGAAAGAAATGTTCTTCTGGGTTCAGCTCCAAATGAGGAAAAAGACACTGGAGACATGGAGGCTGCTTGGAAAGATGGTTTATTGGTGGTCAGGACCACATGGCTTGAGCCCTGAACAGAAAAGGTGATCACATGCTTCAATGTTGGTGGTGAAGAAGAGAACGGCTGAGGGAGGCTTTTTATAACCTGTTCAGTCCCACCTCTCTGTTTCCTGTTCCTGTGTAAGAAATGTATTCTGGTTGGTTGTCAGACTC